GTCTCCATGCCCCCAAAATTAACAACCGTGCCGAAAGACATTAGTCCGCAAACATGTTTTCATAAGGAATGCCTTCAGGAGACAGTAGACAGGTTGGGGGCGAGCGGCGACGTGCCGAGAGGACTCTCAGGAGGGGGAAGCGAAATCGGAGCATTTGATGAAAAAAAAAGGCGTCAGAGGTACAAGGAAAAAAAATCAAAAGCGATAGGCGCCAGTTGAAGTCGCGTCGGTCCCCTTCCCCTTTTTCACTCACATAAACACACACAATCACGAGCACGCACAAGTCTGTGCGAAGCAGGAGGGAAGTCAAAGAGGGAAGAGCTGCGCGCGAGCATTCAAGTTTTATATATATATATATAAAACTTGATATACGGGATATACGTTGTCAAATTTCCTTTGCGAACATCACAAATTCGATTTATCATTATCTAAAATAACAGGTAGCTCATGAACATCGTCACCCTTGGAGCCTTAGGCTGTGTATCGTCTGCACAAGGATTGATACCGAAAATACACGAGTCAAAGAAATAATTCATTCCCCTTAGTATCCCACAGGAAGAGCGGCGTCCCTCGTTTCCACTGAATGTCAGTGGCAGGAGCCAGTGAGACTGGCGAAATGAGGAAAGAGACAGGCGAGGGGGAAGTGCGTCAGTGCGAAACGGTCTCGGGGCAGGCGAAGGAACATGGGAGAGTGAAGTGGGAGGGAAGTCAAAGAGGGAAGAGCTGCGCGCGAGCATTCAAGTTTTCATGCAAATCGGTAATTAAAGCCTCACATTCTCTATCCCTTTGGAGACAGTAAGCAATCTTGGTGTCATTGGATCCGTGAAACATCCCTCTATAGGAAAGGCACAAAAAATCCTGCATTCTTGGCCGGTGAGAAGAGAAAATCGACCCGGAATGGAAGAAATGACCTAAATCGTCAAAGAGGCCGCAGGGAAAATCGATAGGCTTCTAGGATAGTGGATGGATTCTCATGAAAATTTATATTTAGCTAGCCAAGTGAATTTTAAGGAGATCTACCAGAGGAATTTGTACATTTCAGCCTCGTTTTCGAGTATTGTTCGTCAACGTCGCGTTCCTTACAAAAAAGTGGATTTTTCAGGCGGATCACCGAACACTGAGGGGAAACGGTAGGAGGAAACCATGCGCAACTCCGCAAAAAGGTGGACCATATTAGCCTCCAAAAACTGGAGTATGCTTTTGCCGATAGAAAATTTCTACGAGGAATGAGAACGAAAAAACAGAATCCGAAAACAGAAAAATTCTCATTCATGGCGTATTGGCGACTCGAGAACGAGAGTTACATGCGAGTATTTATTTATTCCATATAGCGCTGTATGTCTCAAGGAGAATGGTGCAAATTTCACGTTTCTGCGACCGAGGGTTGGGGAGATGGAGCTTTTCAAAGAGATGCATGCAAATTTTGACCTTTGACCACAGATCATGGCCCCGGGGGTGACCTGAGAGAGCCAGCAATCGGCTCCAAGGCCCTTTCTTGAGGTCCCTTACAACAATTATAGAGTGAAATTTTGATCCAGGGGGGTCGATTTTTATGCTCCTGTAGTACCTTAATCTGAACGCGCAATTGAGTTGAATTTAACAACTAAGGTGATGTTTGAATCTGGATGGGGAGTTTCATGACCTTTCTGAAAGGACAGACTCCTGGTAAGTTTCTGTAGGAATTGCTATAACACATATAATGCAATTGTTCCGCTTTGAACTGCGAAACTATACATTTCCTTTTGATAACTCATTTTGGATTGAGTCTGCAGGCGTGTAAAGTTCGAAGCGTTTTTTTGGCCACCCGGTATACTCTTGACTTGATTTTTTATTAGCACAAGTTCACTTTTTTCCAAGTGTGGCCCGCGCAAATTTAGTCGCGTCGTATGCGACCAGCAGTTAAAAAAGTTTGAGTACCGTTGAGCTACAGAGATGTAGTAGAGAAGAAAAAAAGAAACCCACTTGAAAATATATTGTTCGAATGTAAAGCTGGTGTAAAGCATTTCGATTTGACAGT